CACCGCATAACCCGCAGTGCTTCTGAACAAATCCACAGGAGCCTCTCCAAATGCTGTGAGCGCATTTCCCTCAACCGACTCCTCTTCATTGGAGAAGTCCATTTGACTACCCCGCTGCGAGAGTTCGATGTCCCCAACTGTACACCGGATAGGGACTAAGGGCTGTCGGCGGGGGGTACTCTGGAACCTGGGTGTGAATGTTTCCCAGGGCTCCATTTCCTCTATTTTCGTCACCTTCAATAATCTGCCTGATGAGGAGAAGGGGCAGCAGATGAACGAAAAACAGTCATACACAGAGCTTCCTAACGTCCAAACTAACGAACACATTCCGTCAACATCGTCATATATTCCTCTTTTCTAATTTAACTTAAATTTCAAAACAACCAAATAGTTTACTCTCTTTCTGGAAGCATAATCTAACAAAGTGTGGGCAAATATTTCAAAAAATAAATAACATAAGTATGTGTCTATCTTGCACCTTTATGTCAGTCACCTCGATAAGACTAAGGTCAGAGGACTTACAGCAAGCACTTTCTGCTTCGTAGTTTTGCTTTCCACTTCTTCCCCGCCAGCTGCCCGATTGGACACATCCCTGTCTTTGTACGGCCTCCCGCAGAGAGCGGGGCAACTGTCGTATCCGACGCAGCAGCTTTTGGCACCCCGACAGAAGCTTTGCAGTACGTGCGTTCACCATTTACAAGTCTGCAGTTGTGAACGAGGCGGCATTCATATTTGAATAGACGGTCAGCCGATCGATAGGCCACCGCGGTCGATAAGTCGCAGCGGCTGTGTGCATTGCGCGCAGTCAAGGACGATTTTGAAGGCTAGGCTGCCCAACTGTCCGAGGGCTGGCGCCTTCAAATACGTCCACGATTTTGGGACCGTTTTGTGGGCAGAATATGCTGGAGAAACTGAGTCCACAGGAACAGTCCACGGAGGCAGGCTTAAAAGTTTACAATGCCGAAGCAGATTCCCACTCCTCCACTACTGCTGGGCAATTTCCCTATTTCAGTGCATAGGCTCTTGTCTACTGTAGGAATCACCACGTTGCAATACAATGTAATCTACAACAACAACAAGCACGTTGACATCCTGCACATTCTCAAGAACAGGACTTGCAAATCAATCCGCAGTCAGCAGTGTTCGGTCGACATAAGCATGATGACAGGCCGTGATGATGACAAGGCCATAATGACCGACCGTGCTAACCCTCTTATATGTGCTTTGATGACACCGAGAATGACATCCTTGATCGGTCCGCATCTCTCATTTAATGAGAGATTTCAAACTTCGCTTGCCGACCTCTATCACTGCCCTGCGTTTGTTGGGCTAGGATTAAGGGCTAGGCTTAGGGCTAGGGATTGAGGATTAGTGTTAAGAGTTATGGCTTTGGGCTCGGTTTATGTGTTAAAGCCTAGGCTTAATGGTTAAGGGTCATGGTTAATCGTAAAGGGTTAGGGCCAAGGGTTGGGCTTTAGGGTTAAGGCTTAGCGTTAAGGGGCTGGTATTTTCCTACCAGAGATGCTGCTGCAAATCCGAATGTGCATGGGAAGGATGATTATGTAATTTCGTCACTGAGGTAGCCGTCGATATGGCACATGAATCCAATAACACCGACTCCTTACGAGTCTCGACTTAGAAGGCTGCCATTCTGACTGGAAGATTCATTTCATACTGAGGTATTTTGAAATGACTGAAGGATTCAGAGTCAGTCTGCAATCCATATTTGTGGTTAGCGCAAATACTTAAGGCCTATCTCTCCAGGTCGTAAGATTTTGCTAAGTTATCCGGTCTCCGGCATGCCATTTGTCATCGTGACGGAAGGTGCATCAGGCGTTCGAAGTTAGACCAGTATGACAGATTTGGAGGTAAATTCATGTCAGTTGAGTGCTAATGATAACTTCTTGGTAGAACGCAGACCATGTGTTGGCGTAGACTATCCCGCCAGTGTCACTTGAAGTAGGGCACATAATGAAATCTATATACGAGTATCTTGCACGCCGCATCGCCTCGCATCCTGACTTCACATTCACATTCATCATTGTGAGAGCATGACGAATGGTTGAGCTCTCACTGGAGGGGTTTTCGCGGACGATCAGTCAGACGAAAAATTAACTGAATTCTTCTACATTGAAACATGCTTCAAACGATGCATCCGGAGTTCAAATTTGCTCTCGCCGGAAAACTGTTCAGTAAAGTTCAGTTTTATTTGAGGGAAATATAGGTGTTAGACCTTTGAACTCCCTATTTGTTACAAGGAAGCGAACTATATCAAAAATTTGGAAATGGAAACATCAAACAGCAACAGAGTTTCTTCAGATTGGCAGAGTTTTCGAGGTTAGACAGATAAACGAATTGTTCCAAGAGTTAAAAACATTAACGATACTAAGCGTGCTGTACAGTAGTCTGTTGGTGCCACCTCAGTTTCTGAGAGAGACGAATTAGATGCCAACATACATTCAACAGACATGGGACAATATTAGACAAAACAAACATTACTGAAATGCAGACAGTAATATAACAACGTGAATAAACTGTTCGAACGAAATGCTGGACGATGTCGGTCAGGTGGCATTATGACGTTTGGTGCCGCTCTGGTCCAACATGCGCTTAAAAGCCTCGACGGAGGTGGACATGACGACATCTGTAGGTAGAGCATTCAAAGTCTCGATCACTCTGTTTGAAAAGAAGAACCTCCGAATGTCCAGCTTGGCGCCAGTTACGAGTAGCGTAAGTGGATGACCTCGGAGGTCCGTTGTGGTCGCTAACTCAAAGAAATCAGCAGGTACGAGACAGCAGTCGTGGCCGCGCAGTATACGGAATGTTTGTATAAAGTCGCCTCTTAGCTGTCTGTAACTCAGGGCAAAAATGCGAGATTGGATAGTCGTGTTTCATAGGGTAGTGGACCCTGCCCATTTACGAGTTTGGTTTCCCGCCTTTCTCAAGGATGCTGAGATCTTTAGAGGTCCAGGATTTCCACGACTGAATAGCGAACTATAGCTGTGGCCGTACAAAGTCCGAAAGACTTTAACGAAGCAGTCCTCATCGAAGTTAGAGAAAGTTCACTTGACAAGATAAAGGACTGACATCGCAGACTTGGTCCAGCAATCTAAACAACAAAGTAGATTTGTCACGCATGATCTGCCTCTACGAAATCCGTGCTGGGCATCGCATAGCAGATTATGCTCTTCTAGGTAGTGCATTATTTCTCGCTTAGTTATTTTTTTCCATGATTTTGCAGCAAATTGAAGTAGGGCTGATTGGTTTCTAGTTGTTTCCTAAGACCTTGCTGCCACCTTTATAAATTGGCGTGATCCGTGCGGATTCCCAATCGGCGGGCAAATAGCCTGCTTCGAACGAAGCTTGGAAGAGCATGGACAGCGGTTTAAATAGTTCTCCAGCAAGCTCCCTCAACAATTTCGGCGGTATGTCATCCGGACCAGGTGATTTGGACTCATTTAGCATCAACAGTTCTTTGTAAACAATATCTTCGGCGAAAGAGGCGTGCTCAATCGTTGTTCCGTCCACTATGTCGCAGTCGGGAAGGAGAAATGTACTTTCATTCTTAAAGATGGACTTAGAAATTGTGAAAGATGCCCTGCCTTTTCTCCGTCTTCACTGAGTTCTAGGTCGTCACTACTTTTCACTAACGGAATTGGGTCTCTATTTCGTGTGCTTCTTCTTATGTAACCATAGAATAACTTCGGATTTTCTGCGGCTCGATTCAGTAGGTCTTTCTCGAAAGTACGCCGCGTCCCCAGAATTAACCTCCTAACCAGGTTCCTCTGTGCTTTGTACGCATTTATCGACACATAACTCCTATCCGAGAGGGATTTTCTCCATAACCTACGCTTTTTATTCACTTCTTTTTTTATAACTTGTGTTAGCCACGGGGGTCTGCTGTTCAGTTTCTTCCGTGAAATAGGACAGTGGTCTCTGAGAAGAACGTGCAGTAACTAACTAAACTAGTCCCAATCCTTGATTATGTTACCGGAAAAATCTGATTCCCAGTTTATGGTGTTTAGTTCAGCTTTCATTTGGGCAAAGTCACCGCGCCAAATGTTCCTTCTAACCCTGGTGGCCTGTTCGGACAGAGAAAAAATGGAGTACTCCCACAACAGTACGACGTGATCGCTTCGACCTAGGGGGGGTAGACATTGCACCTCATCAATGTTGTCCAGTGACTTCGTAAGGAGCAGATCCAGACAGTTTGACTGTTGCCCTTCCCGCACCCTCGTCGGAAAGGAGACGTGCTGAGTGAGAAATAACTTGAGGGTCATGTCGAGCGAACGTCGGTGGAAAGCATGGTCTGGGCCAGATGCATAAGCTGAACTCCAGTTGCTTGGTATTTCATGAAATATATCATTGAATATGGTTAGATGAAATTCACGTGGGTAAGCCGGCACGTACAGTAAGTGACCGATCTCATGAAATGTTGACGGAAATTCTGAAATGCGATTTCAATTAGGAGGGCTTAGCTAGGTTCCGACGCAATACTGATTTCCTTGCACGATAATTACGCAACATTTCAAACTGGGCAGGATATCTGCTATTGAATGCGCTGTTTTTCGATGTCTTGCAGAATTATTACTCGGCAAGTTATGGTTAATTATGTAGCATGCATTTTCACATTTATTTTCGAGGGTCTTACATCTTCAAATATATTTGATAGAAACACAGGCAAAATATTTTTTTCACTTATTTGATAGAAAATCACGTCCTCGTTATATTTTCTGATCAAAGACAGTCCACGCCCAGCACATCGATGAACTCGGTAAACACTTCTGCTTCGCACGCCCCTGGTACTGTAAGTGATTTTCAAGCTAAATTAGGTCTTCACACTTGGTAGCCCAAAAACGATCCCCAAGCCTACTTCCAGCCATCATAACCCATAATGTTTTTGCAGATGGCGATATACGATATCGTATGCAGTCGAGGTTAACACATGTCGTCTCCTCACTCAGTAAAATTCTACAGCCACCTGGAATGGTTAGGTGGCCTTATTTGGAGGCATTGTCACCACCACTACCACCACCATCGCCGCCGCCGCCACCACCACCACCACCACCACTACCAACACCACCACCACCACCACCATTACCGCAACCACTAGCATCACCAGCGATGACATTCCGATCAGCCTGCAGATCACCACACCCATTGTCCTACAACCAGCATCGTGGACTCTGTCCCAGCTACCCCTCATCGTGTCAACCCCTTAAGATACCTCACAGACTCGATGGGCCAATTGCGAATCAATCACACTGATACCGGCCAACTAATGTCTGGGAATGGAAGCAGTGACGAACACAGCTCCCCTGCTTATGCCACACACACACAAGCCCAGAAGGAGGGAAAACGGCGTAGGCATCGGGATTTCAGGGTGTCGTCGTCGGTGACGGTAATGGAAGTGCTGGTCGTCTTCCTCGTGAGGGTTGCTGCAGGGGTGACGTCGGGGGCGTTTGTGAAGGCACCAGGTTGATTTGTTGGATTGTTGTTGTTGCGATGAGTTCTGAGATGTCCGACGAAACTGATCCGTGTGCAAAATGATGGTTGTCAGCGTGAGCGTGTTGGGAAAGATTGTTGTTTTCGTTGTGGGTTGGAGACGCTTGAAACTTGCTAGTCGTNACAACACCAGAAGGAGGGAGAACAGCTTGGGCGTCGGTCTATCAGGAGTGTGGTCGCCGATGCGGTAATGGAGGTTCTGGTCGTCTTCCTCGTGAGGGTTGCTGCAGGGGTGACGTCGGGGGCGTTTGTGAAGGCACAGGGTTGATTTGTCAGATTGTTGTTGCTGTTGCATTGGGTCCTGAGATGTTCGACGAGACTGATGCGTGTGCGAAATGTTGGTTGGCAGCGTGGGCGTGTTGGGAAAGATTGTTGTTTTCGTTGTGGATTGGAGACGCTTGACACTTGCGAGCCGCACTTTTGGCGTTGGCAGTGGCCACCCAGGTGGCTTCGTTTATTCTTGCTCCAGTCGTCACCGTACCTCTCCAGGACGGTCAGTCGGCCCTGGGTAACATTATCCCAGGTCTCCGGGATGATTAGCAAGTGCAACCTGACAGAAAATTCGTACTTCAGGGTACAGTAAGGGACCTACTTTGTACTCGCATGACATGTGCATGTTCTACACGGGTGGTATGTGATGTAGACAGGATTTAAATCTGGTCTCTACGCGTGTGGTCTAAGGAGTTCCAGGTGTGCTGGTAACTGTGATTTTTGCTACAGATTTTCTTGTACACACATGTGGCCTAATAAGCCCATGCAATGACTGAATGTTCATGGATATTTTGATCAGTTGATTTGGGCGCGGAGTGTGTTGGTGCTTCTGACACTGCTCATCCATCGTCAGTTCGATGGGTTTGAAAATGACCGACAGGGACGAGGCGCGAGATGCATTTAAGACGGTAATAAGGAGGTGATGGGACTGTGGCTGCTGAGTCGGTGGTGGCGGTAGCGACGTTGGTGAATGTGTCGATGTTTTTGTTGTTGGTGGTGGTGTTGGTAGTGCAATGAATGTGGTGAAGTTTTTTGCTAGTGGTGGAGGTGAGGATAAATTTGGTCCTGTCGTTGCTGGTGGTAGTGGTGATGTTTTTGTCACCGGTGGGTGTGTTGCATCTGGTAGTGCTGGTGGTTTCGGGTTTAGGAGGTGGGTTTGTCCTGTTGACATTGCAGTGAATTCCGCTGTCGCGGATGTGAATGTCTACGAGAAGACCCACGCGTTGTCTAAATATCCTGCGACCTTGTGGGCAGATAATTCACCGACGACGGGAGCATGCAGAAGCTACGGTCACGGGACGACAGACTGCTAGGGGCCGGACGAAATCGACGCCTGATATGAATGCACGGCCGAAATGGGAACAAGTTGGGATTGCATTCATATTACAGCGTATAAATGGACGGCAGACGTTTAGGGGACCGAATAAAAGGGTAGGGGAGTGACTTCATATGGCACTGTATTAGGGAGATGAGGCTATTCATAGCCAGTGGAAGACCGCTTTCATCTAACGAACACACAGTCATATCTCAGATATCGTGCCTATTTATATCCAAGAGTTTAGGAAACAAAACAGTCATAATCCACCCTCCTACACAGACTTCCCCGAATTCGTCAATCGCCCATTGACTTAAAATGTACTTCTAAGGCATACCGCATTTAAATCGCCTTGCGAGGACTCGCGCGATGTGCTTCCTTTATGGTTCATGTTTGTAAGCACCAGTATATACAACATCGCACTTATGCACGTGACTGTAATTAACATGATCGTTAGTAAGTTAGAAATGGACAAGGGTTTCGGCAAGAGACGAATTCCAAGAAGGAGTATAGAAAGCCCGCCCGTCTGAACAGCGGTTTTATCTGTCTTCGATACACATTCGAATCCACACCCAGACTCAGCATCACAAGTCTTGACAAGTCGTACAGTATTTGTAGCATGCATTTGCATAGCCTCTCAATACTTCCAATAAAATTGGCGTCTTTCGCAATCAAGAAGTTCGGCAAAGACAACCAGGCATGCAAAAGTTATCACTGGCTGATGGACCGGCCAGACGCAGGAAGGACTCCCCACAGAAATCGTAAGGTTACCCTTGATCAATGACAGTAACATACCTGATTCATTTGCCCTACCCTATTATCTCTAAATAGGCCTGCTTAGATATATCGATAGGCAGTCGAATTGCACCATACAACAAGACGCTGTTTAGTAGGAAGACGACCTACCCACCTATTCGCATCCTTCGTAATACACAGAGCTCCGACCGACCAATTCAAATGCATCACACTGAGGCCGGCGAATCACTGTCTCCGGCATCCACATACACTCACTCTGCTCACTCCCCCTCATAAGACCAAATTTCCCACGAGAATCGACAACATTCAACTCCAAGAAACAACACCCCAGACATCACCACAAAACTACACTCTACCTGCCCACCTACACATCCGCAGGCTACATATGCACAAACAGCAATAAACGAGCGCACTTCCCACCATCACATCACACAATCTCCCTCTCCTACTAAAATAACTTATGATACAACACCCATAGTCGGCATTGCAGACGCAGCTTCCATGCCCGAAGACACACACAAAAAGGGTTTGGGTAGCGTGGCCTTTGAATAATGTTCTTGCGCATGTAAATGAGACAAATTCGAGTGAATCACACCCCAAACTGTCACCTTCCAGCCGACAAATATCCGTAATGAAACTGACAAAAGAGGCAGAACCAGTATCTTCTATTTCAACAATCTCATCTTGCATATGCAGGCGGATCGGATAGCCTGAGTTAAACAGTTGGACAAAAGCAAACATTTAAACAGACAACAACAGGTATTGAAACACTTGAGCTCGCAAACAGTGAGTCGTCAGGAGGTCAACGGTCTGGTAATGTCGCCTGCGGGTCCAATCCAACCTCATAGACAGCTGCCCCGTCGAGGCTTCCTCCCCGCTCGCCGACTCCAGAACAATCGTTGGGCTGGTCCTGTAGCCGAATACTGTCCATTACGCAGCAAACGTTCGTCAAGCGGAGCCTGCCAAACATTCAATCAGAGACCAATCAGAACACTAGCGAATAAAATAAGACGTCAAATTATCAATAAGGTGTTTGCTGAATCTCCTCATGCAGGGGCACAATTTCGGGAAGGAACGCAACCTCAAATTCTACTAAATCCACGCCATGTCCCACTAACATCAGCCAGCTCTGATGAAACCCTCAAGAATAGACGGTGCCATTATCTGACACTTGGTAGTCAGCAATGCCAGCAAGCAAATGCACAGGCACAATTCAAATTCAGCTGCAACGACGAACAGAAACCCGCCTGCAATCGACAGGCAAATGGGTGATTCAGAGAGAATTCTGCTGCTGTGACTTCCAAATCATATGAGGAATGATGAAAACAGAGTCAGATCGATGGTACCATGGTGCGACCAGCATGTACCTCAGGCTATGAGGCAGCCTCAAGCGCCAGTTCTAAGTGAGGACTTAACGTTTTCTCCCGGATAAAGTTTGCCTCGACGAACGTGTCGTCCCTCATCTCGTCTGTCATTCCCATCCATCATATCCACTTTTCAATTCCTTCAGATATCTAGTGCCTTCGTGGTCCTATCCTAGCAATACCGCGTTTAAAAATATCAGATCCAAATCTGAACTGACTGCTAAACAATGCAATCTTCGGTTAAGCAGGCTGGAATACTACCTCCTTCTGCGACTGTAGACGATGGCTGCGGAACCGGAACAGCGATTGCGCAAGTTCATCCTCCTCGGTGCCATTGACATTCAGTGAGTAATCATCAATTTCATCTCGGAGCAACGAATGCAAAATATGAGCATATGTGTCACAACCGACGTTTAAAAAGGCAAATGCATAGGCACATGTATTTCGTATACGAGGGCACATGTAATATGTTGGAGGGGTGTTAGCAAGCTGGGTACCTACTGCTTTACATTCCTATCGTCTTGGTGGTGGCAGTGGTTGTCGTCATCGTCCTCCTCCTCAGCCCCCCCCCC